TTTTCGAAAGCATTCGTCAACGCGATGCTTCAATCGAAGGCCACAAACAACTTGGACACCGCAGCGGCCGATCTACAACATGCTTTTGCTGAGGCTGCAGCCGTCTTGCCGGTATCGAGATCGTCAGCGAGACGCCCGTGGACGAACCAGGGTACACTTGACTTGATTGTCGAACGCAGTGCTTTTCGACGGGCTGGGGATCACGACAATGAGAAACGACTTCGCAGACTGATCCGACAATTTGGCAAGAACGACCGAGAAGTATGGCTACACGATTTTACTATGAATGGTCGTTAGAATGCTGTTCGACACCTGCAAACACAACATGCCACTATACAGCGCCCCGATGGCACTCCAGCCGACACGGAAGAACGAGCAGATGTCATAGCGGACTATTTTGAGAACGTGCACTGGGAGTACAAATGTGGGGACACACGTCCAGAACATAATACACCACTGGGCAATGCGTTTCCTGTCGACACGTCTCTTTTCACCAACCATGAACTGAAGGCAGTACTGCGAAAGCTCAAGAAAGGGAAGGCAGCCGGCCCCGACGATATCCCGCCAGAGTTTTGGAAAATCTTGGGCTCAGATTCTATTGCTTGCGGCATATTGTTGGACATGGTTCGGAAATGCTGGGAACAAAAGTCAATTCCAGAAATTTGGAGACGTTCGAATGTCGTGCCCTTGTTCAAAAACGGAAGTGTGGCTCTACCCGCAAGTTGCATGCCTATCTCTTTGTTGCCGGTTGGGAACAAAATCCTAGCTGCACTTCTACACCGACGCCTCGTTCAGGGGGGAGCAGAGCTTCGATTACGACAATCTCAGTATGGGTTCAGACCTGGGAAAGGAACCAGCGACGCGCTTATGTTAGTGAGGCGTATCATCGATGCGGCTCACTTGGACAACGACGGGGGGCTTTCTCTACTCATGCTTGATTGGGCCAAAGCATTTGACAGGATTAAGCCGGATTGCATGTGTGACGCACTCCTCCGCTTCGGTGCCCCCCCCTGCATGGTTCAACTCATACGGTCCATTTACGCAGCAAGACATTTCACCATCCTGGACCACGCAGGTACGTCATCTGAAAGAACACAGCACGCTGGGATTGCGCAAGGTTGCCCCCTGACACCTTACTTATTTATCATCGTTCAAGATGTGATGCTGCATCATGTATTTCGCACTGTTGATCTCCAAGCAGAGCCGACATTTATAGTGACGCGCGATATCCTCTACGCTGATGACACGTTGCTTCTTTCACGACACGCTGAAAATTTGAACGGCCTGCTGGCGGCAATCGTTGCTGAGGGAGAGAAGTACGGACTGGAGTTAAGCTGGGAGAAAACAGTTCAAATTAATATCTCAACAGACAGCAGGATTTCCAGGCCGACTGGCGTGCCGAGTCAGTCCGCGAAGCCGTCTATCTTGGCGGGCCTATCACTTGCGACGGGAAAGCGACGACCGAGGTGACCCGGCGATTGGGGGAAGCGACTAAAACTTTCAAGCTGCTGGACCGGATCTGGGCGCACGCGTCAATCGGGAAACGACGTAAACGCATAATATATTCAAGTTGCGCGCTCAGCAAGCTCATGTACTCCTTGGACTCTGTATGGCTCTTAAAAGCAGACAGGTCGAGATTGGACAGTTTCCACTGCAAATGCCTGCGGCGTATGCGGGGTATTCCCCACTCTTTTGTTTCTCGTGTTCGCAACAGCGACGCGTTGCAGCGAGCGTCGTCGACACTGTTATCTGGGATTCTGAAGGAACGCCAGATAGTTCTGTACAGTCGAATCGCCAGCTCCCCAGACCCATCCCTGATCAAAGACACCTTGTGCGATGCGGACGGCATTCCCGAAAACTGGGCCCGCCGCCGGAAACGAGGGCGCCCGCGACAACAGTGGGCGACTTCGGTGTCCCGCTCCTCTTTTGTCTCCTGCTTCACAGCCATGATGCGCAACCCGTTTTTCTGCTTCACAGTCGAGCGGGTGTATTTTAGATTTCCACGAAGAGCTGCCAATCGTGCGCTCTTCTGCCCACTCGTCCTTCCGGATGCTCGGCTCAGCCTGCCTGCATCCCTGGGGGGCTGCGATCTGCGACACTGTCGCCACTTTCGAGGGCCGCTGGGGGGCCCAGCGGAGTGACGTCATACGCAGCTTCAGATTCGACCTCGTCGTCCCTGGGGGACTGCGATCTGCGAATGGTCACCAATTTCGAGGGCTGCTGGGGGGCCCAGCGGAGTGACGTCATACGCAGATTGAGATTCGACCTCGCCCGCCATCCCTGGGGGGGGGGCGATCTGCGAAACTGTCGCCACTTTCGAGGGCTGCTGGGGGGCACAGCGGAGTGGCGTCATACGCGGATTCAGACTAAACCTCGCCATCCCTGGGTGGCTGCGATCTGCGAAATTGTCGCCACTTTCGAGGGCTGCTGGGGGGCCCAGCCGAGTGACGTCATACGCAGATTCAGATTACCCCCCATTCCATCCTTCTCCTGCCCATCGTTTCTGTCACCGTTATTCTTCGAGCCTGGGGCCTCAATCCTCGTCCTTTCGATCGTCGTCCTGTGTGTCGTGCGACACATGCGCATCCCATGTAATGTGCGCAGCAGTTCACCGCGTCTACTATGTCGCTGTTCCTGCTGATGTTGGCCTACTCTTCTTGCCACTTGATGCGCATGGGTTGGGTGCGTCGCACGGTAATTTAAATTGAAATGCTCCCCCCAGGGCTCGCACCCTGTTCTTTTACCAGGGAAAGTCACTCGGGTCAAACTGCGTTGTTGGCCCCCGAACTACAACAACGGCTCCCGCCATATATTTCCTCACAATGTATTCCCAAATCGCGCTCTCGCGCGGGACTTCGTCACAAGTTATTATGGAATCGCGCTCTCGCGTGGGATTTCCTTGCAATTTATTCAGACGCTGCGCCCTCGACGCTAAGAAATCACGCTCTCGCTTTGGCCTATCGCACGATTTACTTGGGAATCGCGCTATCGCTCGAGACTCGCGATTCACGCATGATTCACGCTTCAGCACCCCGCCTGCTCGACCCGGCCGCTTGGGCCAGCTTCCCCGACCCGCCCGTCAGGGTCTACCCGCCCGATCTGCCCGTCTGGTTCTGCCACGTGTTTTCTGTTAGTCCCCCTCCTGCTACTCTCTCTCTCTCTCTTTCTCCCGATTTCGTGCTGCATCCTCCTCTCCCACCCTTTTCCCGTTATTCCTTCCGTCGTCTCTTACACTGCAGTCGGGACTGCATGAAATACACGTTGCAGATAAGAAATTTATACCCCAAATGAGTACGATCGTAGACGCAGAGGGCGGGTATCGATGGTCCTGGGCTATACGTGTTGAGTGGCACGCACGCAAATAAGAATGAACAGTCTTCAAATTATGGTTGTCTGTTGCTGCTGTTTCTGTTGTTGTCATTGTGTTTCAATTACGCAATAGTTACTAATGGTGGACCCCCTACAGGCGCCATGGCGATCTAGCCGCGGCGCTGGCTGCATTTCCCTTGACGTCAAAGCTCACGCTCAGGCGTTTCGTGGGGTGCGCCCGCACCAGCCCCCCACCAACAACAACAACGTTCCCGCTCGATACGTTCCTTTTCTAGTCGGGGCCAGGGCTCTTGCTCGCCGCCGAAAGCTGGCTTTCCAACAACTCGCTCGATGTTTCTAGTAACTCGGGACCAGCCTTCCCGCCTCGGCGCCGCAAGCAGCCCCCTGCAAACAACGACGCTCGTGTTCGATATTTTTCCGGTTTTTAATCAAGATTCCAAGAGGCCCTGAAGCTTCTCCAGTCCATGTTGAACGCTGTGGGACACCCTACATCCCTACATCCGCACTGGCGCTCTCGCCTCGGCGCTGACTGCTTGTCCTTTGAAGATTAGGCTCGCGTTCAGGAGTTTGGGGGTCCAACAAGAATGCTCCCGTTCAATAAGTCCTCCTACGGAGGACGTATCGAGTGGGAGTAGGACTTTTCCTACTCCGGACCCGGGCTCTTGTTCGCCGCCGAAAACCGGCTTTCCAACAAACCCAGCATTCCCGCTCGATATTTCGTTGTTTTTTTTACTCAGGATCGGCGCTCCCGCCTCGGCGCCGCAGACGGCCCCCCCTGCAAACAACGACGCTCCCGCTGGATATTTCCCCTACTCTTATTCAAGACTCCCAGAGGCCCTGGCAGCCCTGGGGTTTCCTAGTCCCGAGTGCCGATCTTCAAGACGGAGGTCTGCGCCGGTGCCTCCCTGGCGCGCTCCGTGCCCTGGCGGGCGCGAGAGCTCGCACTGGCGACGGCGACGGCGTCGTCGTCGTCGTCGTCGTCTTCCTCTTCCTACTCCTGTTCCTCTGACTCCTCCTCTCCTCCTCTTCCTCCTCCTCCTCCTCCTGCTCCTGCTCCTCCTCCTCCTCCTCCTCCTCCTCCTCCTCCTCCTCCTCCTCCTCCTCCCCCCCCCTAGTCTTCCCTCCTCCTTTGTCCTCTTGCTTCTCCTCCTGCTTCTTTTTCCGCTTCTTCCTTCCCCGAGGCTCAGAGGCTCCGCCGAGGAAACGGAAGAGGACGAGGAGAACTAGCTGAGGGCGCGGAGGAACAGGTAGAGGCTGAAAAGGAGGAGGAGGAGGTGGTGGAGGAGGAGACGGCAGCCGCACCAGCGCCACGACACGACGACCGCCCCCCGTCCCCCGTCCACGTCTCCTCCTTCACCCTGCCGGGCCGCCCATGCAGGTGCGCTTTTGTTTTTTCACCTTCCTCCCCCCCGGTCTGGGTCAGGGGCCGTTAACCGCAGACCGTGGGGGTGTACAGTTCCGACGACGCCCTCACACGCCTGACCCCGGTGACCACCCATCTTAAAGAGGGACGGGTGCCGGGGTCGCGGTTACACCTCGAGGAGCAGGAACAGGAGGAGCAAAGGAAACAGAGGACGAAGCGGACGCTGGGGGCTTCTTCCCTCCCCCTCCCCCCGCTCTCTCCTTTCCCTCCCCTCCCGCTCTTTCTCGGGCGCCCGCGCCCCCGCGAGCCTGGGCGACATCACGGGCCCCTTCGCTGGCGTCTTGCGCTCGAAGGGTTTCGTGCGTGTCAAGGACCCCCGTCCTCGCCGCCGCCGTCGTCGTCGTCGTCGTCGTCGTCGTCGTCGCCGTCGTCGTCGTCGTCGTCATCGCCGTCGTCGTCGTCGTCGTTGTCGTTGTCGTCGTCGTCGTCGACGGCGTCGTTGTGGTCGTCGTCGTCGTGTTCGTCGTCGCCGTCGTCGTCGTCTTCATCGTTATTGTAATGATCCTCGTCTTCCTCGTGTGCGTCGACTCTTTGCCCCCCGGTTGCCGACCTCTTCATCGCGCCCCTGCTGCTGATGCTCAGCGCGCCTCCCGGCGCCACCTTCCGGAGGATGACGAGGCTGACGAGGAGCTTGATGACCCGCGTAATCTCAGATGCATACCACGGCTGGATTCTCTTCGAAATTCTAGGCAGAACTCACCCCTGGAGAGGTTCGGGGAGTAGCGGCCTTGTGCCCCCCAGTTTCGACTACTCCGTAATACAATCTCCCCGTCGCAAGGTCTTTTCCACATGAGCCCCCTCAAGCCTTCCTTACCAAGGAGCGCCTCCTTGGAAGGCCAGCGCCAAATGTGCCTGCTATTCAGCCGGGAGCCTCATTTTTCAGAGAACTGCCTTGCTTCATTCTAGGCGTGATTCTATATTTCAACAAGGCGTCCTGGGGTGTCCCGTTTTGAAAAGGAATCGCCATCCAACGTGCAGATGTCCCATGTGCTAAAGCCTCAAGCGAGATCCCCTGTTTGACAAGGATCCTTCCTACACTTTGACGAGGAGCCACCATCGATCCTTGTAGCTCCTGTTGACTGATACAACGAAGGTGTGCGATGCTGAGGCGAGAGCTCCATGATGAAAACGCCCCCAACATCTTTATCACTGTTGCATGTATTGCAGACGACAGTGCGCGCTGCTAAGGTTGGAGCTCTTTTTTAAACAAGGCACCGCCATCTATTCTTGTAGCTGTTGCAGACTGTTCAGAAGAATCTGCACGACGCTCAGGCGAGAGGTACATGTTGAACACAAGCTCGCTCCATCCTCGAACTGACTGCAAGCGTTCCAAACTGCTGTGCATGGCGCTAAGGCGAGAGCTCCAACGTTGGGTACAAGCCTCCTCCATCCTTGTAGCTTTTGGAATAATCTAAGACGAATGCGCGCGGCGCTAAGGCGAGAGCTTCATCTTGAAAACCAACACCCTCCATCCTGCTAGCTCCCGCAAAATTGAGTCACGGCGCTAGGGCGAGAGCTCCGTGTCGGAAATGACCCCCATGCATCATTGCAATTGTTGTAAATCACACGCTCCACGACAACACTTGATGAGGACGTCTCAGGTGAAAAGCCCAGCCGGCCCGACCGATCCGTCTGTGGGTGCGACAAGCATGTGTTGTACATTACGAAGCACGGATGAAATCTGAGGTCGACGATGACGACGAGGACGATTACGAAAACTAGGATGAGAACGATGAGAACGATGAGGACGAGGAGAACGAATACCATGACGAGGGGGAGGAGATGGAGGACGAGGACGAGGACGAGGACGACGATGAAGTGGATGAGAAGTAGGAGGTAGATGAGGGTGCAAGAGCGGTCAGAAAACATCCCCTCCCCCCTCCTCACTTCCCGTCCTCCCAGCCTCCCGGCCTCCCGGCATCCCCCTCTTCCCCCCCGAGGGCGAGCGCCGCTTCCGACCGACACTAGGCGCAAGTGACCGTTGATAGGAGCGTTCGGCGGGTCGCCAGCCCGACGAGTGGAGGCTGACCGCGTCCTCTTTTGTTTTTGTGTGCAGCACGGATTCGGCAGCACCGCCCCGCCCCTCCCCCCCCTGTGGGTCGTCCTGGGCCAGGGAAGGGCCGCCGAAGGGGCCCCGATGGAGGAAATCCCAAGGATCCCTCGGCGGTCCCACAGCTACCCTCGGGAGATCCCAGCCAGCTTTGCGAACCCTTCCTCAGAGATTGATAGAGCCCCCACCCCGCCAAGTCGATTGGCAAACTGCCTTCTTCAGCTTCCGAGACGGTGTTGCGGCGGCAATGCTTGCGGGCCTGCGACCGCCAGGCCTGGGCCGTTTTCACTAAAGGGTGTCTTGCTAAATGGGGTTCTGTCCACCCCCGATCCTGGATCCGATCCTTGGGGTCTCCGGGGAGGAGGAGCGCTGGGCCTCCCAGGCGCTGCTAGGCGCTTCAAGGCGCTCAAAAGCGCTCCAAGCGCTCCGACGAGCTTCCGGGAGCTCCCGTGCCTTCTGGGCGCGTCTTGGGCGCTCTCCAGGCGTTCCGCGGCAAGTGCTCCCCAGGAGCTCCTCGGGCGCTTTTCTGGGTGCTCCTCGGGCAGCCTTGGGCGCTCCTAGGCCATCCGCAGCATTTCTAAGAGCCCTCAGGTGCGCGCCGGCGCTCCACGCAAAGCTGAGGTCGCCTCGCGCGTCGCAGCTCGGGCCAGGGATTTGACCTTCGCGGCGGGCGGCGCGAGAGTTCGAGGATGATCGGCTCGTCCTGTTTCACTCTTCTCCTCCTCATCCTCCCCCTCCTCCTCCTCCTCCTCCTTCCCCTCCTCTTCCTCCTCGTCCTCCTCCTCCTCCTCCTCCTCCTCCCTCCTGGGACGAGGAGGAGGAGGAGGAGGAGGAACAAGAGGAAGAGGCGGAGGCGGCGGAAGAGGCGGAGGAGACGGGCGGATGAGGAGGAAGAAGAGGATGAGGAGGAAGGAAGAGGAGCGACGGCTGCACCGCCCGTAGGACAAAGGCCGCAAGCGTACAGCGTCTAGGAGGAGGCCCAGCAGGCTCCCTGGAACGGCCGCGACGACGGACGCCGATGACCATCGACGGCCACGGATCTGCTCCTGGACCTTGGGGAAGGTGGAAGAGCAGGACCTGGAGAAGGAGGAAGAGGAGGAGGAGGAGGAGGAGGAGGATTTGGAGGAGGAGGAGGAGGAGAGGGAGGAGGAGGAGGAGGACCAGTGCAAACCCAAGACGCATCAACAATTGTACAATAAGTCCTGCCTCCAGTCCAAGTTCCGACTTCATAGGTCCTTACTACAGATTGTGTCCATTGCAGGATGTGGCCCATTGAATTACAAGCGTCCCAATAAGTCAAAGAAAGGAAGGATGCCATTCTACCATATTCCAGAAAAGGGGATGCCTCGCCAGAACGACGCAATCAACAATGTTTTTTGACCGTGTACGTATATTTGGTAGGATTCGGGCTCCCCTCAATGTCCGCAATTATCCGTGAGGGCTTCGCCCCCTGCCGCCAGCCACTCCTTTATAATGGGATCTATCAGAGTCGCGTCGGTGCGTCTTGGCGCTGCCTCGGCGTATCTAAGCGCAGATTGAGACATTGGCGTTATCTAAGACGCCTACGGCGAATCAACGCCGCCCCCTGTCTTTTGGGAAGCGCCCATGTGGCCGAACGTTGAGGTCAGACCTGCCAAGCTATCGGACCATGTAATTCCCGAATCGGTTTGGAAAGCCTTCGGGGAACACGTGGGCATTTTGAAAGTCATCTTGGCCGTCTGGAGGCCATGTTGACCCTTTCGGGCCTTCTTGGAGGACGTCTTGGAAGGCTCTTGGGCCGTCTTGGAGGCCATCTTGAGCGCTTTGGAGGCCTCTTGGGCCGTCTTGGGGGCCTCTTGGGGCCTCTTGGAGCCGTCGTGGGCCTCTTGGGCGATCTTTGGGGGCACTTGGGCCGTCTCGGGCCGTCGGAAGGCAGAACAAAAACAAGCGAATGCCACAACCCTTCAAGAACTCATGGGACATCAAGGATTTGGGCCTTTTCGGCCCTTCCGGGAGGCCATCTTGGAAGCCTCTTGGGCCATCTTAGGGCCATCTTCGGCCATCTTGGTGGGCTCCTGGCCCGTCCGACTCCGTCGGAAGCCGTTTGGGGGGGCCCTCTGGGCCGACTTGGGGCCCTCTTGGAATGCTCCAGGGCCGTCTTGGAGGCCATCTTGGGCGTCTTTTAAAAGCCTCCTGGGCCGTCTTGGGGGCCTCTTGGGGCGATCTTTGGGTCCTCTTGGGCCGTTCGTTCTGGGGCCATCTTGGAGGCCTCTTGGGCGATCGTTGGGCGATCTGTGGGGGCTATTGGGCCGTATCGGGCTTTCGGATGGCCGAGAAGAAGCACATGTCAAAATCCTTCAAAACATCTAAGACAAATACATGTTGTTGGCCTTTTCTGGCCTTTCTGGAGGCCCTCTTGGAGGCTTCTTGGGCCGTCTTGGGCCAGCTTCGAGCCAACTTCGGCCATCTTGGTGGGCCCCTGGCTCGTCTGACGCCGTCGGAAGCCGTTTGGGGGGCCTCTGGGCCGACTTGGGGCCCTCTTGGGGTGCTCCAGGGCCGTCTTAGAGGCCATCTTGGGCGTCTTGGAGGCCTCTTGGGTCGTCTTGGTGCCCTCTTGGGGCCGACTTGGGGGCCTCTTGGGCAGTCCTGAGGCCATCTTGGAGGCCTCTCGGGCGCTGTGGGGGCGATCTTGGGGGCCTCTTGGCCATCTTGGTCGTCGGAAAGCGGAGCAAACACGAAAAGCCTTGAAACACCTGAGGACAATCGATGAATCTGGCCTTTTCGGGCCCTCCTGGAGGACCTCTCGGAGGCCACTTGGGCCGTCTTAGAGGCCTCTTGGGCACCTCTTGGGCCGTCTTGGGCCGTCTTGGACGCTTCTTGGGCGAACTTGGAGGTATTTTGGACTCTCTTGGGCCGTTTTGGAGTCCGTCTTGGACCATCTTGGGCGAACTTGGAGCCCATCTTGGATCATCTTGGAAGCCATCTTGGGCCAACGTGGCCATCTTGGAGGCCATCTTGAGCCGTCTTGGCGAATTTTTGTCCGGGATTGGGGAATTTTCGGGTGGCCGGCGGGACAGGCCGACGCGCCAGGGGGAGCTCTTTTTTTGAAAAAAAGGCAGACGCGCCGAAATAGTTCGGGGGACAGGCCGACGCGCCGAAATAGTTTGGCACGCCAGGCACCCCTGCGGCGGATCCTAGTGGCATTCGGCATTCGGCCCATCCCGCCACCGTGCCTGGGTTGTGGGTCTGGGGCCTCTTGTATATGTGTTGGGGTATCGTTGGGGGCCTCTCGGGGGCCTCTCGGATGCGGTGTGGGTGCTTCTTGGGGGTTGGGGCCTCGTGGGATATCTTTTGGGCCTCTTGGAGGCCCCTTGGGCGCGTCTTGGGCGCCTCTTGGGGCCTCTTGGGGCCTCTTGGCGGCCTCTTGGCGGCCTTTTGGGGCCTCCTGGGGGCTTCTCGGGGCACAAATACCGACTGCTCGGTTCGTGGCCGCCTGCTTGCGCCCCTCTTGGTGCCGTCTTGGGGCCCTCGTGGGCCGTTTGGAGCGCTTCTTGGGCTATCTTGGAGCCCTCTTGGGCCGTCTTGGGGCCCTTTTGGAGGCGTCTTGGGCTGTCTTGGGGCGGTATTGGGAGCTTCTTGAGCCGTTTTGGAGCGTCGGAAACCCGAAAATGCGAGCAGGCCAACGTCCTTCACACATCTGAGTAACATCCGCGAGTTTGGTCTCGTGGGGCTCTCTTAGGAGGCCTCTTGGAGCGCTTTTGGGCCTTTTTGTGCTCTCTGGGGCCGTCTTGGGACCACCTTCGGGCGCTTTGGGGCACTCTAGGCCTCGGCAATGCGAATCTGACGTAATTTGCAAAAATGTGTATGGCTTCGGAGACGCGAATAGTGTGTAAGTTCTGAGGTTGTGTTGCCTTGGAGACGCACAACTTGTATAATTTACGAGTGCTTGTTGCCTCGGGGACGCGAGCTCTGCGTAACGGGGCGCGAATATCATGTATTGTTACGTGTCCCACGCCCCCCTGGAAATTCCGAGCACGCGATCCGAGGGTGTTAACCGGGCGGTTTGGGGCTCCCCCCCTCGCGCGGACTTAAACCATTTACAGAAGGAATCAGAAGTCTGGACTGTCACATTAGAGCCTTGAAACTGCAGTTGGTGCAGGGAGCAGCACACTTCGGCCTACAGCCTCGTGGCCCTACAAGGGGGCCTGCGAATTTTAGAATCCCAGATGCGAGTCTACGTGACCGCTGCGTCCTGACGGCACGCGAATCCACTTGGCTGTTGCGTCCTGACAATCCTAGATCGCGCGGGCACGCAGTTCCTGGGATTTCAACCCTACCAATATTCGCTCATGTGCGAACTTTACAGGTGAGAACCATATTTTGAAAACCAGCTGGCCTCCATCCTAGAAGCCCTTACAAACTCTGACTACATAAGACGAATGTGCGCAGCGCTAAGACGAGAACTCCATTTTGAAAACGGCGCGCCCTCCATTGAAATTGTTGCACACTTTCAAGACGAATGTTCGCGGCGCTGAGGCGAGAGCTCCATTTTGAAAATGGGCCGCCCTTCTTCAGGATCTTGAGTGGTGGGGGAATCTCGGGCAAAACGCTTGGCCCCAGCTACGGACACGGCTGGGGGTGCGACCGGGAGGAGTTAATCATGAGGTAAAGGGATGGAGGAGGAGGAGGAGGAGGAGGAAGAGCAGGAGCAGGAGCAGGAGCAGGAGGAGGAGGACAAGGAGGAGGAGTACGCTACGGTGGAGGAGGAGAAGCAGGACGAGGAGGAGCTGAACAAGGAGGGCGACGACGAGTACCAGAGCGTCGCGGCCCGCGCCGAGGAGTCGCAGACCGGCGCCGCCTACTACTGGTCGCACGCCGGCCGGAGGCTGGAATTGGGCCCGGCGCCGGGCGCGCCGCCCTGCAAGGGGCAGGAGCGCCATGCCTCTGGGTCCCCGCCCCGCCTGCCTGCCTGCCTGCCTGCCCGTTGTCGTCGTCGTCCTCGAGGGGAGGAGTGACCAGCGCCGATCTAGCAAGTCCGCGCGGAGCTCCCAAACTTTCTGTCTGTGCCGTTGTTTATTCTTCTATCGGGGGGGGGTCTGTCTTGCGCTCGCGCCTCGTCTCGACACCTGACATGCTGCCGATGGCGGCGCGCGTCAGAGCGCGAGAGGAGGCTGCCTCAACCACCCGCTGATTAGGGTGGCATGCTACGTTCTGCCTTGTGGTCCCCGAGGAACGAATCTTCATCCTGCTCCTCTCGGTACGCACGGCCACGGGTACGGAAAGGGTGGGAACGAAGACTGACTGACAGCAGCCCTTGCAATTTTTGAATTGGAATTGCTGTCGATGTGGCCGCGGACGGTGTACATTGGAGACAGTGGCCACTGTCAAATTTGGATAGAACCCATCATCGACAGTGACCACCGCCCAAGTGGCCACTGTCAAATTTGCCAAATTTGCCAAGTGAACCCATAGTTTCCGTACCCATGTCGGGCGTGCCAGTCTTTCACTTCGTGCGTCTCTTCCTCCCCGTCCTCGTCGTCGCCGTCCTCTTGCTCTTCCTCCTCCTCCTCCTCCTCCTCCTCCTCCTCTACCTCTACCTTCTCCTCCTCCTCATCAGCATCCCCCTCTTGCCTGGACCTCGGGCCCCTGAGCGGACGCGCGCCAGGCCAACCTAAAAGCCTTGAGCCCCCCTCGTCCTCATCCTTCTGCCTTTCTCGCCCCTGTGCTTGTCTCCCCGTCCTCATTTCTCATTATGTTATTTCTCCACTCCTCCACCACTCCCTCCAACTTCTCTCCTTCCCTCCCTCATCATTTTCCCCCCGGTCCTCCATTTTCCCTCCTCTCCCTCCTATTCCTTCTCCTTCTCCCACTCGTCACCGTCTTCCTCCATCTCTTACTGCTCCGCTTCCTGCTCCTCCCCGTCCCATTCTTTCCCTCATCCTGTTGTATCTGATGCTGGTCCTCTCTCTCCTTCCGGTCCTTTCCTGCTCCTGCCCCCTTTCTTTCCCTCATGCTCGGCCTCCTCTCCATCGTCTTCCTCGCAATCGTCATCCTTACCCGCCTCCCCTCCCGCATCATGCCTCCCTCCCCCTACACATGATCCAGTCCCCTTCAACTCCTCCTGTTTCCACTTCTCTTCTTATTCCTGTTCCTTTTATTGCTGCTCCCCTTGCGGCTACTCCTACTCCTGGCCTTCTTCGTGCTCCGCCCCTTGCTACTTGCCTATTCGCCCCCATCTTCGTACCTATCCTCCTGCTGCCCTTGTCCCCTTCATCCTACCACCCCCTCAGCCACGACGAGGGAGGGGAGGATCATCAGGTGGAGGGGAAGGCGAAGGAGGATGACGGAACTCGCCTCTCTCCGCTGTTTTTTGTCCAGACTCCAGCCATCTGCGCGCACTGTCTTTTTGCACAGGATTTCCGAACTTGTTGTTTTACGTTCGCCACAGCGCGGGCATCATGTCTGGAACGGAGTTTGTTTGTTCCTTGTCGTTATCGCCCCTTCTTTCCCCTTCTCCGCCTCCCCCTGGTCCTCCTGCTCATTCCGTTCTTTCCGCTCCAGTACGTGTTGTTGTTGTTGTTGTTGTTGTTGTTGTTGTTGTTGTTGTTGTTGTTGTTGTTGTTGTTGTTGTTGTTGTTGTTGTTGTTGTTGTTGTTGTTGTTGTTGTTGTTGTTGTTGTTGTTGTCGTCGTTGTTGTTGTTGTTGTTGTTGTTGTTGTTGGTGTTGTTGTTGTTGATGTTGATGCTGATGTTGTTGTTGTTGTTGTTGTTGTTGTGGTTGCGGTTGTGGTTGCGGTAGTGGGTGTGGTTGTGGTTGTGGTTGTGGTTGTGGTTGTTGTTGTTGTTGTTGTTGTTGTTGTTGTTGTTGTTGTTCGTCCTCGTCCTCCTCCTTCATCCTCATCCTCATCTTTGTCCTCCTGCTCATCCTTCTGCTCACCCGCCACCTCCTCCCTCCTCCCGCTATGGATTCAGTTCCCTTTTCCGATTGCGCATAACACGATTGGGTCGCTCTGTTGGAGATCCAGGTCGGTATGAGGCGCGTCCGCGGGTAGACAAACATCCGCTCAATGGGAAGGGATGGGAGTCTGGGATCGGATGTCAGATATGGTGCGAGCGTGCCTAGCTTGTCATCCCACCCCTTATCCGCCCCCCTTCACCGTCGTTTGCACTTGCTCCCCCTCCTGTCCCTTCCCCCGGAACAGGAGCTCGTTTTCATCGGCGCTGGGATGGATCAGGCCGCGATCGAGGGCGCTCTGGACGGCTGCCTGACTAGCGAGTAGCCAAAATGCGGTCAAAAAGATCTCCGCAGTTGCCAAGGACAGATGAGCACGACGATGAGCACGAGGATGAGCACGATGAGGCGGAGGAGGAGGAGGAGGACAAGGAGGAGGAGGAGGAGGAGGAACAGGAGGAGGAGGAGGAGGGGGAGGAGGAGGAGGATGAGGAGGAGGAGAGGGAGGCGGATGAGGAGGAGGACCAGGAGCAGGTGGTCCAGGAGGACGACCAGAATGACCGGCAGGAGGGCAGGAGGGAGGCGGAAGAGGCTGAGGAGGAGGAGGAGGGGGAGGAGCAGGAGGAGGAGGAGAAGGACGAGGAGGAGGCGGACGCGGCGGAGGAGGAGGAGGAGAAGGAGGAGGAAGAATAGCGGAGAGCGGGGAGTGGGCATAGGTAAACGGAGTTGGTTGGAGGACGAGGAGGAGGAGGAGTTGGCTCAAGGCTAAACGTTACGAAGGCCGCGGGCCGAGGTGTAGCGATTAGCTTTGGGTGAATCCGTAAGCTGGCTCAGGCTTTCGGGCGGTCGGCTTGTCAGCGCGATCTCTCGATCACTCCCCCAGTCCTGGTGCAGAGGCACCTTCCTTCTGTTTGTTTGGGTGCTCTACCGAAGTAGCAGGGGCTATCTCCCACAGAGCGAACAGCAGAAGCCATGGCGGCCCAGGTCTCTGGACTCATCCGTGGTGCAGTTGGCGGACTGGCATCGGCGGCTTCGGCGGCTGGCAGTGGAGGCGGCGGCGGAGGCGACCAAGGTACCAAGCGTCATCAACCTGACGAGCCTGAAAGGATGGGCCATCAGGCCTTATCTGCGGCGCAGCTCAAGGACTACGTGGACCAGGTGCAGTCGGACCTTCTGGGCGAGATCCAGAACATTCAGGCGTCTGTCAGCTCGCAGCTGGGCGAGGTTGGCAAGAAGGTGGCAGCTTCTTGCGGGTCGATCACGCACACGCTCGAGGCCAGGCTCACCCCGATGCAGAACTCGATCAATAACCACACCGAGCGGATCCAGTCCCTGGAGACCGACGTCAAACGCCTACGTGACCTACTTCATGATGCGAAGAGCTCGACTCCTGCGCCCGTCCTTCGTGCGACTGGAGGTGGTGCTGGATTCAACCGTGACATCGACCCGTGCATCATCGTGGCCAGGTGCAAGCACCAGACCAGCATGTCCGAGGTCAAGACCGCGCTCACGCCTTGGTTCCAGGAGGGCTCGATCCCCGATGGCGAATGGGCTTTGGAGGGCGACCCGACCAGCAAGCGATTTACCGTGCGATTGGCTGGCGCCGTGGGCTTTGCCAGTCGACGTGTACAGCATCTTCTCACTCTTCTTCGGCCGACGAGCCCACAGGGCCAATGGCGGCGCTTTACAGCTCCCGCTGTCAGTGGCGAAGTGGCAGAAGTATATGTTGGCCCCGACAAGAACCCCGCGATGGTGCAGAAAGAAATGGCGTGTAAGACCGTCAAGCGCATCCTCACCGACGCGTACCCTCACAATGTCTTCTACGTGGACAAACTCAAAGGCTCGGTCAGCACGAACTGGAAGCCGCTTGTGCATGTGCAGCCGCAGGCGGACCAGGAGACCCCGACCGTGCTCTTCGCGGAGCAGAACTTGGTGGCTGAGAACATCGAGAGAGCCCGCATCGAGCAGCCCATCAAGATGGCGTTGCGTGCAGCAGGCAGCGCCCCAGAATGGAGCCTTTAGCGACGTGAACGTGCTGTGGGGAGGCACGTGCAATCCATCCCTACCGTACCGTATCGCAACTTGGAATGCGGCTGCGCTTCTACATCATGCCCCCCAGAGCCGGGCTGACAAGTTGCAGTATCTCAAGAAGCTTCTTCGGCCAGGAGCTCTGACGGCTGTGCAAGAGGTGCATGGCACCGCTGCGGAGATTGGTGAGTTTCTTCACCAGTCGAACCTTGCGTCGTCTCTCTCCTTCGCCTCCTCCTTCCACCCCTCCTCTGAGCGCACTGGAGGCGTCGTCACTTTCTTCCCTAAATTCACCCCCTCTGAGGATCGACAGACCATTTTTGGAGCCCCCCTCCCTGTAGTCTCCTCCATTCCTCTGGTCCCTGGGCGAGTCCTTATCACACGTATCCGTTCACATGATAACCGAGCTAGTCTTGATCATTACAACGTTCACAATCATGATTTATCACGTGCACATATACTTACGCTCATGGATCAACTTAAAGTAGATATCGATGCAGCCGCTGCCGACCCACTGCGACGTCTCGTGGTGCTAGCTGGCGACTTCAATTTTGGTCACTCTCCTCCTCGTCCTCTATCTCCAGACGGGCATGTGCCACCACCGCAGGTTCCTCCACCTCGTGCTTGGCAGGAAGTGCTAGGCAGGCTGACGGAGCTCCAAGTGGAAGACCCCACACACTACCACCCAGGCACTAAGTTCCTCTCGTTCATAGATAGGATTTGGGTTTCGCTTCCTGGATGGGTGCTTTCGCAGTACTCCAAGGGCGGGGAGGTGGTCGGGTTCCCTGAGGTCCTCCAGGCGAAAGGGGTTTCAGACCATGCTGCTGTCTCGGCTTGCCTCCAGGTGCGTGTTCCCCCGAGGCCCGAGGATAGGCCCATACCCAAGGACATTTTCTTCTCAGATGAATACAGCGAGTTCCTGACTTTGGCTATTGAGGCTGAGCCAGCTGAACATCTTCCCCCTGGACGTCTACACCAGTATTACAAAACTCTGATGATTGAGGCGGCCCGATATGCGAGGTCGGCGATCATTTTCAGGAAACCGAGGTCCCTGGCCGCTCGTTTCATGGTGCTCAGGAGCGTCGCCCGTGCCGTGTTCCGCCAAGACGTGCAGCTGGCCCTCAAGCTTCGCAGGTCTCACCCCCTGGCTCGCGAGATGGTCTCAGTCGATGCTGAGCAGTCCGAGGTCACCCTTTCTGACCCAGATCGGTTCACTGTTATGTCGAATCAGGTGCACAGCGAAGTGGCGACCCGTCAGAGGCACCGCGTTGCCCGAGCAGCTGAGCAGCAGACCAATGAGCAGAAGGAGCGGAGGATGAGGGAGAGGCTGAAGAGGATGGCTAAGGTGGAGCAGCTGTGGAGCCCATTCGATAGGAGGGTGTACTTGACGGGGGTGAAGGATCAGGAGGGAAACGTTCACAACACGCCGTCGGAAATAAACCAGCAGCTGAAGCAACACTGGGGCCAGGTGTTTACAGGTCAGCCTTTTGATGCTGAGCGAGCCCGTGCTTTTCTTCGCGAGTTTCCTGTGCAGGTGCGTGCACGAGACATTCCTCCTCCTACTTTTGCTTCGCTTCAGGCTCACCTTCGTCGACTTCCCCACTCTGCTCCAGGGCCTGACCAACTCCCCTATGCAGCGTGGCAGCGCGCACCGCACGGCGTTGAGATTTTGTTCAACAGCATGCAGCATATGCTGGCAGGCAATGTCCTCACGGAGGACTATAACTTCTTGCTGGGCGTTTTCGCCCCCAAGGGTGAGGAGGCCAACGACGTTTCTGGTGCGATCCGCACCCCGGCTGAAACCAGACCCCTGGGACTGAAAAACAGTGATAACAAGATCATCACGGGGGCGGTGTTTGCGTCGTTTAACCGAAGGCTCCCGCAGGGGCTCGACACGATCCAGAAGGGGTTCGTCCAAGGGCGGAACTTTGGGAACAATATCATCGACCTCGACGCCTCGGCTCGGGTCTTTGGCCTCCAGAACCCCCAGAACCAGCCTGTACTAGGATGCTACGATTTCGGCCAAGCCTTCCCGTCCGTGTCCCAGGAGTGGATCCTAGAGGTGACTAACTCGATAGATATGCCTGACCCGCTCAAGTTCCACATATCCTTACTATATATCAATGTTATGTGCTTTGGGGCCCTTGCTGGCCAAGTTCTGGAGCTCTTCCTGGTGACTAGTGGCATTATTCAGGGCTGTCCTGGATATGGTTCTTTGTTTTCGGTTGCCGTGGACCCGTTCCTCCAAAAGTTCAGGGCCATCACAGACGCCCGTAATAAAGGTCGTACCCGAGCCTGTGCAGACGACATAGGCATGACGCTCCGCGATCTCCGACACCTTCGGCGACTTCACACCGTGTTTAAGGAAGCTGAAGCGATTGCCCGACTGAAGCTGAAACCCGCGAAGTGCGTTTTGGTCCCCTTGGGCTCGGTCTTCACGGACGTCTTAGCGGCGAGGATCAAAAACTGGCTCAGGCAGAACATCCCCGACTGGAGCGACTTTCGGGTGGCATCGTTGGCCAAATACCTTGGCCTCTGGATAGGCCCGTCTGCAGAATACGACTCTTGGGCTTCGCCTCAGCTGAAGTATTTTCATAGGTGCAGTGGAGTTGCCCGTTTGGGCGCGAGTACCGAGGTCTCTGCTAGGACGTACAACAGGCGCTGTGTGACGGTGCTGTCGTACGTTGCCCAGTATTTGCACCTGCCGCCTGCCCTCCGCGGGAAAGAGTTCGTGCAATTCTCCAAGATATTCCATATGCCTCACAGTCGCCTTAAACACTCTGATTGGCTGAACTTGGAGAAGAGCGGCGGCCCGAAGCTTACCAGCATGTTGGCGCTCAGTTTAGCTTCGCTCATGCGAGCGAGCCTGTACACGTTCGACGCCTGGCGCCCCGCCATGCAGGAGCTACGGGAAACTGCAGATATGTGTCTTCCGCTTCCTGAGGTTGTCAGAGGCCGTCTGTCTCCCGACTTCTGGAAGTCCCCGCCGATAGCCCTCGCCCTCGAGCAGGCCTCAAAAAGGTTTCCCAGCGCACCCGAAGTTTGGTCCGCCTTGTCAGGTAGCCCTGAGGACTTTGAAGCAAGCTCGTCGGGATCGCCCAGAGGTTCCTGATAAAGCTCTGCACCCCCAGCGGATATTGTACCGCGCCATCTGTGAGTGGCTGTACCCAGACTCGCTCCACCTCACCTTCGAGAAGCGTCTCAGAAAATGGTGCCCAGACTATGTTCAGGAAATCGCGCAGATCGATTGGCATCGTTTTCGTGTCGTGATGGCCTCGCTCCCTCCCTCGTGGCGGTCGGCGATCCTCAAAACTTTAAGTGGGGGGTGGTGTACGGATAGCAGTTTCCAGACCCAGTCCAGATGTATGTTCGGATGTCCAGGTCTCACAGACAGCTTCAGCCACTATTGGACTTGCCCCAAATTCGAGGTTTGTTGGTCCAGTTCCCTGGGTCGGCCGATCCCCTCGGGAAGTTTTCCTAGATTCGGGCTTGTCAACCCCGCCCCTCAGAAACTTGAGGTCATAGTGCATGCGTTCCTGCTTTTTAATGGTTTGCATTCCGTCTTTGATCCCTCCCCTTCTGCTCCTCCTCTATCCGCCCAGCAGATCCGAGCCCAGATCCGTGCAGCCAAGTATGCTGCTGCACGCCCTCGTCTCGGCCGTTGAGACGAACCCGAGGCGCGCCTGGCCACGCGCGAGGAGGAGGAGGCTTAGCCTCCCTCCTTCCTCCTGACTCTCCTGGTCGCCTCCTCCCCTCCCTCCTACGCAATTCTCCTCCTCCTCCTTATCTCATGTTTACCATTTGCTCATATTCCTCTCTCTTCCTGATCCTCTTGACACTCCCTGTTGACAGGCTCCGAGTTTGTTGTGACCACACACGAGTTCAGGAGGTGCCCCGAGTCCGATTGTTCACTGATAGTGGTTCATAGTCTTCCACCCCCCTCGCTTCATTCATTCTGATTGCCCCCTCCTCTTTTCTCGTTTCTTCACTCCCTCGTCCCCCCCGTTCCCTCCCGCTTCCCTCCCCCCTCCTTTCGTCCCCTCTTGAACCGCTTCCGCTCCTTCCTCCCATTTAGCATCCCTTGCCTCTTCGGTCCCTTCCTCTCTCCCCCATTCGTGTCTTCCTCTTCCCCCCGTTGATTCTCCCCTTCCCTGCTCCCCCCTCCCCTCCATATCCGCCATCTCCTCCGCCTGCCTGCACGTGGCCGGAGGCGGGCAGAAGCGAGAGAGGCTCTTCCTCGTATCCCCCCTTGTCACTTAAATTCCATCCGCCTTCGTCCTTCTCCTCCCTCCTCCTCTTCGTTCCTGTTGATCTCCTCGTCGGTATCCCGCTCCGCTGTCGTCGTCGACCTCAATCATCCATCTCCGCGCCATCGCCGTCCTTCCCGCCTCTTCCCCCTCCCACCTTCTCCTCCTTCACTCCCTCGAAGCGTCCTTCCCTCCCTCCCCCCTCCCTTCCTATCTCGCCTTCGTCGTCGTCTTCGCACGCGCGTTCGCAACCATGGTATTCCTTGGACGCACGCAGCGTATACAATGCATGTACCGTGTCATTGGTATTCGACGCTGGTCCTGATCCAGTAGGAGGTAGGGGGAAGGGGGAGGCGGAGGAGGAGGAGGTGGACGAGGAGGAGGATGAGGCAGAGGATGAGGAAGAGGAGGAGGAGGAGGAGGAGGAGGAGGAGGAGGGGGAGGGAGTCTGGATACTTGAGGGAATGAGTGAGGGAAGGGACTGCTCAGCAGGAGGAGGAGGAGGAGGGCAGGATACTGTGGGATGTAATGCGGGTGCTGATGTTGATGATGTTGATGGTGATGATGCTGATGATGGTGATGAGGACGCTGATGGCGATGATTGACGATGACGCTGATGAGGATGCTGATGCTGATGATGATGCTGTGGATGCTGATGGTTGATGTTGGTGATGATGAGCACGATGGCGATGACGATGGTGGTGATGCTGATGCTGGTGATGGTGGTGATGATGATGGCGTTGAGGATCATGACGACGAGGATGATGCCGAGGATCATGATGCTGATGGTGATGATGATGGTGATGCTGAGCATGATGCTGATGATGTTGATGCTGATGATGCTGTTGCTGCTGATGTTGATTATGCTGATACCGTTGATAAGGATGAGTATGATGGTGCTGCTGATGAGGATGATGATGCCGATGATGCTGATGCTGCTTATGATGATGATTATGATGATGATGATGATGATGATGATGACGATGATGATGATGATGATGATGATGATGATGATCATCATGTCGGTGGTGACGATGATGCTGATGCTGACGATGACGGTGATGGTGGTGTGTATGATGCATATTGTGATGTTGTTGATGATGCTGATGCTGACGATGGTGATGGTGATGAAGATGATGACGTGATGCTGCTGATGATGAGGCTGATACTTGTGATGATGATGATGATAATGATGATGGTGGTGGTGGTGATGATGATAATGATAATGATCATGAATATTGTGATGATGATGCGGATGATGCTACTGATGATGATGGTGATGGTGGTTGTCGTCGTTGTGGTGGTGATGAGGATGATGATGATGAGGAGGAGGGGGGAAAATGGCGGAGGATGGTAATGAGGAAAAGGAGAAGGACGAACGTGATAAGAATGATCATGCTGATCAGGTGGAGGACGCCAGGGAATTGCCATTGAGAGAGACGGAGGAAGATGATATTGGTGACGATGGTTAGAGATATGCGGGCTAGAGAGAGATGCGGGCTCCTCCTTCCGCCCTGATGGCCCTGCTTCTGTTCCCGATCTTCTTCCCTGCATCTGCTGTTCTTCCTCATTATCATCTTCCCTCCTGCTTAGTCGCCCTCTTCCTGCGGCCGCCCGATGCCAGTCCAACTCTCCGGCCTGGTGTGCATCCCCGGTGCGAAACCTGCCCCTCCCCAGGTGAGGGCGGCATGTGGGGAGGGAGGGGCAGGGGAGAGAGGGGAAAGTGAAGAATCTGCGTCCTCCTTCAGAAGGGCGCGCAGCGTGTGCGTTTCCTGCTCCTCCTCCTCCTCCTCCTCCTCCTCCTACTCCTCGTCCTTTGCTCATCGCTCGTCGTGCGTTTTTTTGTCCCCCTAATAGCGCTGGATGGGTAGGTGAGGGCAGTGGGAGGGGAGGAGACGAAGACTGTGGGTCCTCCGTCAAAAGGGTGCACAGCGTGGCCTTTTCCTCCTCCTCCTCCTGCTCCTCCTCTTCCTCTGCTCATTGCTCATCCTGTGCGGAATGTTCGGGGGCAGATGAGGGGGAGTTGAAGAGGAGAAGAATGAGGATGTGCGTCTTCCCTTCACAGTGGCGCGCAGCGTATCCGTTCCCTTCTCCTCCTCTGTTCATCGCCCGTCGCGCGCAGAGTTTTCCTCTTAGAAAGGCGCTGCCTATTTTTCAAGCCTCCGTGTGGCCCTCAGACTACCCCGCCGGAGGCGGCACCAGGGCCCCGTTTTCGTGGTGCCCACGGTGCTGGCAGTCTTCCCCTTTTCCCCTCCTCCTCGTCCTCCTCGTTCTCCTTCTTTTCGGTCTCCGCCTCTATCCCTTCCTCCGTCCCCTCCTCTTGTGTCTTCCCCGTCTTCCCTTCTCGTCCTCCAGCTGGCTCTAGTTGCCCACGGAAGCGACCACTTTCATGGACGAGGCCCCCTCGTCGGTGTCATCTTCCTCCTTCTCCTCCCAATCCTCTCCTTCGCTTCCTCCTGCTTCTCCCCTCCATCCGCCTCCCTGTTTCTCCTCACGTCCTCATCTCACATCTTATTGAGAACAAGTCGGACGAGGAGGAAGAGGAGGAGGAGGAGGAGGAGTGACCAGTTGGAGCTCAAAAAGCGGGGATTTGGGAGGAGCGAGGAAAGAGAGTGAGGCAGGGACGAGAGATGAGGGACGAGTGGATCGCAGCAGCAGCCGCCGCCGAAACCGCAACAGCGCAGGGAGCATGAGGGAGCAGGGACTCGCTTGAGGAGGGAACATCTGGGGGGTTCGGGGGCGGGGCGTATGTTTAGAGTAGGGTGTCCTGGATATCGCGGCCGGTGCCTCAGTATCTCCCCGGGTTGCATGGCCCCTTCTTTCTCATTCAATGCATCTCCTGGCCCCCCCGGAACGGGGAACTTAGCCTCCCGCCATGATCTGCGAAGCCCCCTCTTCGACGTCCTCCTCTTGGAGGCCCCCAAGGGGGCGTGGGGCCGGGAGGCGCAGAGGGCCAGCCGCGAGACTTCGACCCTGCCTTCGGCAGCGGGCCGGGAGGGGGGTGCAGGGGCGAGCGCCGAGGCCGGCGGCAGCCGCGCCCGGGGCCCGCCAAGGCGGAGGCCGACGGGCACTCGTCGTCGTCCTCCTCCTCCTCCTCCTCCTCCTCCTCCTCTTCGGTACGATCGAAACGGGTAAGGAAAGGATTGGGAGGAAGACCGACAGTAGCTCTTTTTCGTTGGGAACAGGCACTCTGTTGCTGTCGCCACGGACGTTGTCCATTTGAGACAGAATGTCGCCTGCCCAGCAGCGGCCGCTGTCGATGTTTCACCACATTTGCTGTTATTCAATCGTTTCGCTCATTTCGCCAGCCCATTTTTGGGCACTGCTGCGTCGACTGGCCGAGAGGTCGTTGGCGGTGTCGAGCTGCAGGGGCGTCGGCTGTTTTCTGAGGCGTTGCGTGGGGAATCATGCTGGGGCGATTCGTCTGGATTTCTTGGGAGTTGTCAGGGGAATCGGTCGCTTTTCGCGGGGCGGCTAGTTGTGTGGTGCTTTGTTGGACTTCGGGTGCCTTCGTGGGGGTTGGTCGTGGATGCTCACTCTGGGGCTTGTCGATGGGGCGCAGGGGACATTTGATGCGGCGGTGTTGGGGTCTCCTGGCAGGTGTCGCGGAAGCCTTTTGGAGGCAGTTTTGAAGCTTCTTGAGGCCTCGTCAGGGCCGTTTGGATGCCCTGGGGCCTCTTGGGCCTCGCGGGGGCTTCTTGGGACTTTTGGGTGCTTCTTAGGAGCCTGCTGGCGGTCTCGGAGGGGCCCCTGGGGTCGGAAAGCTTCAAATGTCATTTCGAGTTCCCTCTCTGGGGGCGTCGAGGTCCGCCTTGGAGCCCTCTTGCGTCGTCTTGGAAACCTATTGGGCCCTCTTGGACGCATCTTGGAGGCATATTGGGCCATCTTGGGGCGATCTTGGGGGGCTCTTGGGCAGTCTTGGACGCTGTGAACCTCCGAACGTCGTCTATGCCAGACATGTACGTTTTCCGCAGGGAATGAAACGCTGTATGCTTGTTGGGGCCCTCTAGGAGGGCCTCTTGAGGCTCTCTTGGAGCTTCTCGGCGGCGTCTAGGGCCGTCTGGCGACCAGCATGGGCGTCTTGGAGCAGTCTTTCGGCGACTCGGGGCCCCTTGGACCGTTCTGGGGGCGTCTCCGAGCCTGCTGGGCGCGTTCCTGGAGCGCTCTGGGAGGCCTGGAAGGCAGCGCCGAGGGGGAAGCCCTATCTGAGTCGCCCTGACCGGGACCTACTGGGGGTATTGTTGTTCGTCCGGGAGCCCCCAGAAGCCCCCCATCGCGCGCGAACTGTAATCTGTTGTTAACCAGTTACTGGAGGTCTTAGCACGCCTCTGGCCTGGTGGGTTGGTGAATTTACCGTTCCCATTTTTTTCGTCCCCATTTCTGGCGTGCCAATGTCGCCTTTTGTTCATTATTTTCACTCTGTCTCCTATGCCGCCCATGTTCTCCTTTTTACTCTATCTCCTATGCCGCCCCGCCTCCCTCTTGTTCCTTTTACTCTATCTCCTATGCCGCCCGTTTTCCTAAGCCGCTGCTCTCCTCGGGTAAGTGCAGTTGCAGGAGGTTGCTGTCAGCAGGCGCCTGAAAGCTGATTGTCTAGAGCTTCTCCAACCAAGACCTGCAGCTTAGCGACTCGCTCCGATTCCGCCACGCCGCAAGGCTGACCAAGCCACGCACGTTCCTGGATATGGGTCCGCGTTGATGGAGCTGCCAGCCCTCGTTGGAATCCTGGCGATGACGGGATGGATTCTCATCACTAGCCAGCAGAAGCATTCGCAATCGCGAGCGGCTGTATCACCTCTGCCCGATCGGGATACTGCGAGCGAAAGAGCAATTTTGGTGAAGTCGCTTGTCTAACCCTGGCACATTCTGGATTCGACTTGCGGGAGAGACTAGCGGGCTATATCGCTGGTGGTACATACACGTGTTGCCTTTCTTGCCAGGCCGACGGGGAAAGCAGCATGCATTCGGCCGTGATGGGCACCCGATCCCTGAGTTTGAAGCGTCTTATAACTTGGATGCTGAAGTAGGCTAGCTCTGGGGGTAAAAGTCTCGTGTTGGTCGTCCCTTCCGTCGCTTCCCTCCCCCCCCCTCATCCCCTCCCCCCTCCTCTCGCTCATCCCCCTTTTCCTCCCCCCCCTCCCCTCATCTTTTGTCACCCCTCCTTCTCCCCCCCCCTCCCAGCCCTGGCACGCCTTTCCCCCCTGCCCCGCTCCCCCCCTCTCTCCCCCAGCGGGCCTGGGTGGTTGATTCCGGCCACGGTGTTTTCTCGCCGCCGGGCAGAGCGTCCTCCAAATGCGGCCAGGGCTGCTCTTTGGGCATGTTGCTCCAGCCTCGTGGCCGCTTATCGCTGGTGCCCTGGGTCTCGAAGTCGACCCGGTCCGATCCTCCCCCCCACCGCCCCCCTTGCCCTCCCTCCTTCCCGCCTTGCGCAGCGCAGGGCGGCGAGGCGCGCGGGCGCAGGAGCGTGCTGGCGCTCTGGCGCGTGTGCGCGGACTCGCGCGCGCGCGGATGCGGAGGCGCGCGGGCGCGCGGGCGGCGGGCGCGACGGGCACGAGCGCACAAGCGCGCGGGCGCGCGGGCACCTCCACCCCGCCCATGCTCCCCCCGGCCGTCAGGATGCTGCTCGGCACGGCGGCATTCGTCGCGGCGCGGCGGCGCGGGGCAGCTCCCCACCGCGGGGCGCGACGAGCGGCCGCCAGTCGTGGGGAGCCTTGGCCGTGCCTGGACCCCGGCGGCGCGCAGAAGTGGGGGAGGGCGGGGGCGGCGGGCCCACACCCCCCTCGGCGTCGTGGAGAGTCCGCAGGTCGGACGGTCTTTGGGACCGGTTTCTGTCTCCGAGGGTCGGTACCGAACGTTGCAACTTTTGTCGGGACCCTCTGGGCGTCCCTACGGGGGGCAGGCGGTCTTCGGAGCCAGCAGAGGGTCCCTGGAGGTCCATGAGCCACGAAGTGCGTGAGGGGTGTGCCGAATCGAAATCCCCCTGAACCGTCTGAGGGGTCAGCTGAGGGCCCCTGGGAGTCCAGGAGGCACGACGTGCGTGAGGAGTGTGGCCCTGGCTCAACCGGCTCAAGCCGCCCTGGCTCAAGGCCCCAAGTGCCCGCGCGCAGGGCGCATTCAGCCCGCGCCGACGCCTAACGCGGCGAGGGCCCACAGGGGGCCCACCGAATTCAATCGTTTCGCTCATTCCGCTGGCCCATATTGTAGCATCGTTGGCACTTGCTTGCGTGCTCGCGGGGAGATTTTTTCGGGCCTTGTTGGGCCTCTTGGGGCTTCCCTGGGGGGATCTTTGGACTTTCTGGAGCTGGAGGCCTCTTGGGGGTCTTCTGGCAGTCTCGGAGGCCACCTTTTAGGGAAGGGCTCGAAATGTCAATTCGCCTCATGGGCCCCTCATGGCGGCCTCATGGAGCCCTCTTCGGAGCTTCTTGGGCCGTCTGGGGTCCTCCTGAGAGCCTAGAGCCTGTTGTTCTGTCTTTGGGCGATATTTTGTGCCTCTTTGGCCGTCTTGGAGCGTCGGAAGTCCGAAAAGGCGGGAACGCTGAAATCCCTCGAACACAATCAACGATGTTGGCCTCTCGGGGCCTTCTTTGGAGACCGCTGAGAGCGCACGTAGGGCGTTTCTCTCAGACCGTGAAGAAACCAGGTTGTCTTGGAGCGCTCTTGGGCCGTGTCGGACCCTTTTGGACCCTCCTGCAGGTCCTGTGAGGCGCTTCTAGAGCGCTCTTGGAGGTCGTGAAGGCCGCGTTTAGATCGAACACCATCACTGACCCCAGTCGAGCACGCTTGGACCTGGGCTCCGGGGACCCCCAGGGGCCGCCCCTCGCGCGAGATCTAGTCAAGTCAAGTCAAGTCACCCGGCTCGCACGAGGGCGGGCCCATATAGGGCGCGAGGAAAAATCAGATGCCAGTCACTATTCATGCCTGGTGCGCAAAGGGACGCAACGCGCCTGCTCACGTCGACGCGCAGAAGTCCACGGAATCTTCTGTCATGCCCACCCATGCTGCGTAATATTGTGCAGCTTCTTGCCACGGTCCGATGTTGTTCGCCTGGCAGAACGAAGATAGCTTCGCGTCCCAAGACAGAAGAGGACGACCCTGTGAGCGCGATCCCGGCGGCGTCAAATGCAAGGTTCTCGGCACGCTAGGACAAGGGTTCCAGAGACCTCCAGGGGCCGCCGCTCGCGCGCGATCTAGCAATGTACAAGCGCTCGGGCTCTCTTATCAGAGATCTGAGCACGCCTTTGGCCCGTTGGGACGGCGACTTCTTTAGATACGCGGCCCCAGAGGTCCCGACCCCTTTCCTGGGGCCAGTTTCTTTCCCCAGATCCACTTTATTGTGATGGTCCCAGACCCCTGTAACGGGCCCTGGAGGCCGAAATCCAGGGAAAACGCACGCTCGGGTTGACAAAACTCATGTCGTCGGAGATTCGGGTCCAAGGGCTACCCTCCCCCTGGCCTGATTCGCTTCGGCCTTGCGCCACCAAGCAAGGACTATCGTGCGACGCGCGGCTCTTCCGCGACATTTTTCGGAGGCCCAGCGCTCCTGACGAGCCTGGCCGGCCTGGCGCGGCCGCGCCGGCGAGCGAGCCTGGACCGCAGGAGTCGGCGGTTCAAAGCTGGGGGGCCTTGAGCATAGGAAGGGATCCCCGGCCCCCGGGCTGGAATTGCCTTGTTCGAGGACCCTCGTCCTTCGGGCACCATCGCTCGGGGCCCGTCTTTGGAACCTCCGCAGGAGCAGGCATGCCCTGAGGGCGGTGCACGCGCAGCGGGCGGCGCCAGTTGCAGCGCAGCAGGCCGTGGGCGCCATCGCGAAGCCGGACAGCCACAAGCGCACGTACTCGTACCTGAAGCTAGACAACGGCCTGCAGGCCATCATCGGCTCCGACAAGGATCCAGATGAGGGCGAGTTGAGACTGACCTTTTCGGGCCCCCCTCCTCGCCACGTCGGGGCGCAGCTGGGAAAACCTCTGCGTTTGGACCCCGGGAGGGGTCCGGGAAGAACCGATTTTGAGCTGCCGCTGTCTCATTTCGCCCTGTTCCGAAAGGTCAGGGGCAACGTTTGGGGGGCAAGGGGCTCCAGGGGCGATGCGTCGACCCCATATCGCCCAATGATCGCCGAGAGGGGCCCGATAGCCCCCCCCCGCGCACCGCTCGGGGGCATGTCGCCGACCTGTCGACGATGCGTCTCCAATCCCAACTCGATGCCCCCCCGCCCCCGAGCCGGTCCGCCCCCAGCGTTCCCCCTCGCAAGGACTGCGACAAGGCGGGGGCAGCCCTCTGCGTGAACGTGGGCATGTGCCACGAGAGGAAGGACCTGCCGGGCCTCGCCCACTTCCTCGAGCACATGCTCTTCACGGGGACCGAGAAGTACCCCTCGGAAGGCGAGTATTCCGAATTCATCCAGCAGAACGGCGGCACGTCGAACGCTTACACCGCCTGCTACTTCACCAACTACATGTTCGACGTGAAGCCAGACAAACTGGAGGGCGCTCTGGACCGGTTCGCGCGGTTCTTCTCCGAGCCTTTGTTGACGAGGGATTGCACGGAACGCGAGATTAACGCCGTCGACTCCGAGTTCCAGGGCGGCCTCACCGAGCCTTGGTGGCGATTTATCGGCATCATCAATCAGAGCGCGAACCCCGACCATCCTTTCCACGTTGCCGTGGGGAACAACAAGGTTCTCCTAGAGGAGCCCAAGGAGCGCGGTATCGACCTCTACGATGAGATGAAGAAGCTGTACAACGACACGTATTCGGCGAACGGCATGACCCTGTGCGTCTTCGGCAAGGAGAGCCAGGAGGAGCTCGAAAGCATGGTGAAGAGGCTTTTCTCCGGCGTACCCAACAAGGGCGTTGAGATGCCCGTTGGCGACGGTGTCAGCCCGCACCCGCCCTTCCTGCAGAAGGACTGGAATCAGCTTCTGCTCCAGAACCCCGTCAAGGACGTCAAGGAGCTGAGCTTCAGCTGGTGCATTCCGTACCAGGCGCCGCTCTGGCGCAAGAAGCCCACGTCCTACATTGGACACCTCATCGGTCACGAGGGCGCCGGCTCGATCATCTCTGTGCTGAAGGAGCAAGGCCTCATCGCAAGCTGTTACACCGGCAACGGCGCCTGGCTCGAGGGAGCGTTCAGTTTGTTCAATGTCAACTTCGAGCTCACCGACAAAGGCCTCGACAACATCGATGTGATCGGAAAATACTTGTTTGCCTACATGGGCATGCTTCAGAAGAGCCCGCCCGAGAAGCGCATCTTCGACGAGATGGCCAAGCTGGCGGAGATGAAGTTCAAGTTCGGCGAGGACGGCCAGCCCTTCTCGGCTGGGCTCTTAGCCGTTGGGGCAGCCCCCCCCCCTCCTGATCCTTCCCTCCCCCCGTCCCCCATCTGCTCTTCTCGTCCTCTTTCTCCCTCGCCCCTCGTCTTCCCCCTCGGCCTCCTCTCCCAGTCCGTCCCCCGTTCCCCTCTCCCTGCTCCTCAAGATGCGCCCCGCTCCCCCTCCCCCTCCCCCCCCTCCACCTCCCCCTGATTTCTCGCGGACGTCGCAGCAGGGGAGCGCACAGATGATCCCGAGCCCCATGGGCGGGCAAGCCCACCCCGCCATCTGCCCGTGGGACACCGATTGCCGCTGCCGCTGCCACGGCGTACCTCAGGAGGGAAAGAAACACACAGACACAATTAATCGTCGATTCCCCAGAAAATATGGGAAAATATGGGAAGTGGGGGGGAAGACAAAAACCCAGAAATTTAGGAAAATATGGGGAATCATTTTATTTGTGTGTATTTATTTGTGTGTTCCAATTCCCCTTCAGTACCTGCAGTACCGCAGCCAGCAGCGAGCTCACCCATGCCAACGCTACTGCTGGCCGCTTGTGGCCGCCCGCCCGTCGCCCGCTGCCGGACCGCCGCTGGCCGCCCGCTCTTGCCGCCGGCCTGCCGTGCCGAAGTGGCGCGGCCTTAGCTCGGCCGTGGCGAGCTCTGGCCGAAAGCGGGCCTCGGCAGGGGTGGGCTTGGCCGTCCCATCCAACGGCCGCCACCCTGACCTGTGCCGTACCTTGCGCTGGATGGCTGGAGCGCTGGAGCTCCCCCCACCCTCTGCCACTCCTGCAGCGGTGCTAACATGCGACGAGCGGCTTGGCGGAGTGCGTGCTCAGACAGAGAGCGGCACTCAGCGGGTTGCGCACGGGGTATATGTATGCGACCGTACCACTTACGACTCCGCAGCGGAGAGGGAGGAGGGATGGAGGAGCATGGGTATCTATCTTCTCGCGAGAACGGCCGTGGCAAAGGGGAAAGGGGGGAGAGGTGGAGGAGGAGGCAGGTACGGAACGTCACGACTCGCGCTAGCTACCCCGTCTGGCGCGAATCGTAACGTTAGTACCTTGGGTTGGTGGGAGTGGGGGCGGGGGCGGGCGTCCCCCGAAAAAGCGTTTTCGCGAATCGTGAAATACCGTGTTCGAGGAAGGAGGAGGCGGGGGGACCGAGGAGGCGGAGGGAGGGCGGGGGGAAGGCGGGGGGAGGGGCAGGAGGGGGGTCATGGGCAACGTGAGGGAGGGATAGGCTCACGGGGGGACGCTTCGACCCCCAATCGCCCGATTATCGCCGATAGGAGCCCGACAGCCCACCCCGGCCAGGGACGTACGGATTCGCTGCTGTGGGCCTATCGCCGACCTATATGCGATGTATCGCCGATTCCCGCTCGATGTCTCCGCCCCCGGCTGGTCCCCCCGTATCGTTCTCCCTCTGCGGAGCAGCAGCAAGACGAGGGGGGAAGGCTGCTCCTCCCTCGGCCTCCCTGCGCTCGGGAGCGCCTACGCGCGCCCGAGATGTGCCCAGCGATCGCGCTGAACGTCGTGCAGGGCCTGCCGCCTACGGAGGCGCGGCCGTGCCCGCTCCCCAGGAAGGGGCCGCCTGCCTGCCGCGGCTCTGCCTGCCTTCTCCCGACCTCTCTCGCTTCCGCTGCCGTCACGCGTGCTTAGAAACATGCATGCGTGCATGCATGCATACATACACACACCTACAGACCTACCTACCTGCTTACCTACATACATACCTACATACATGCATACACACATCAGTACTTACATACATATAAACGCACATACATACATACACACATTCATACATACATGCAAACCTACATACATACACACATACATACACACCTACATGCGCACATGCAGACACCATGCATGCATGCATACATACATACATACACATACACACAGGCATACATCCATACATACATACATGCATGCATACATGCACGTCTACATACAGACACGCATACACGTACACCTTATTACCTGCATACGTTCATGCCTACATGCACACATGCAGACACATGCGGACAGGTGTACACACATACATGCAGTTTGTCATATATGTATTCATGTATGCAGGCATGCATCTATACACACATACATACGTTCATATTTGCGTACGTGCATGCGTATATACATTCATACAGACGAACAGACACACACATACTCATGTATACATTCATACATGCATACATGCATACGTACAGGCACGCATCCATACATACCTGCAGTCATATATGCATGCATGCATGCACGCATACATGTATACACCCATGCACACATACAGACACACACAGCCATGCACACGTACGTATATGTAGACATGAGGACATGGATGTCCGCATACGTACATATATGCGTGCACACATACATACCCACACGTGCATACACGCATCAATCCATACATGCACGCATACATTCATACGTGCATGCTCGCATACATACAGACACACATCCATGCATCAATATGCATACATACATACATGTACGCATAGATCCAGGCATACACGCATACCTACATCCATTCGTGCATGCATACGCACATACATGCGTACAGCCGTGCATGCATACATGTATGCATGCATGCATACGTGCATACATGCATGCATGCATACATGTTCACACACATGCAACAGCACATACATACATACATGCATACGCACATGCATGCATGCATGCATACACACATACATTAATGTATGCACACTTGCAGACACCTACATACATACATGCGTACATACATACTCTCATGCTAATTTGATTGCACTGATGCAGCCATTCATACACACATGCATGCATACATATAGGCATTCACCCATACATACAGATTTACTGACATACATACATGCATACATACATACTTGTAGTCACACATGCGTGCATACATGCAGACAACCACACATATATATATATGTATACACAAGACTGCAGTGGCGCTTCGCGACATGCAACTTGGTCCTTGAAGTTTGGTATGCAGGCGGACTAGCAGGAAGGTCAAGCCGACAATTTTTGCGATAACTCCTTGTTGCCTTTTCCGGCATCGCCGCTATGATAATGTTATTCGTTATCCTTCCTCCATGCTTCGTTTTCCTCATTTTTGCCATGCCCTGCGCATTCTCCCCATCTTCCTCAGCTCTTTTAGCGGAGGCTCCTCCTTGGAGAGCCTCTGGGGGCCTCACAAAAGTTGTTTCAGGCTTTCTAAAAGGCCTTTGGAGGCCTCCTGGGCGTGTTCTGGGGGCCTCTGGGGGCTTCCTTTGGCCACCCTGCCTCCAACCGCGGTCTCCATGAACGACGGGGTCACGATTTGGAATGCTTCGCAGGGTGTCTTGGGGTCTTCTTGGGCCGCCATGGGGCTCTCTGAGGGCCATCTTGGACCCCTGTTGTGCCATTTTGGGGCTCTTTTGGACTGCCTGGAAGCCCTTTCGGATGGTTGTGGGGCGTTTTTGGAGCCTCCCAGGCGGCGTTGGGAAGCCGAAAAGAGGAGAACCCCACAATTCACAAAAAAAACGCTAAAAATCAATGATGTTTGCCTCTTGGGGCCTTCTTGGGAGTGCTCTTGGAGGCCTCTTGGGACGTTTCGGGACGATCTTTCGGGGTATGACAGCTTCTTGGGGGTCGTCGTGGACCGTATTGGGGCTCTCTGGGGTCGTTTCGGGAGCGCGCCACGCCCTGCGAGGCCCGGGGTGCCGCTTCGAGGCCCGTCCGGGGGGTCCCAAAACCCCATATCCCGGGAGTCCAGTGTTTTTTTTGGGGGGGGGGATCCCCCGCCCGGGCTTATAACAATAAAGGAAGAAGAATATGCGTTCATGCATGCGTACATGCATGTATGCACCCGTACAGGTACACATAGCATAATAGCATACATGCATACATACACACGGAGCTTCATGCATGCAAGCACGCAGACACACATACATACATGCACACACACTTACATGCATCCATACATACATGCATGCGTGGATGTACGCATACACGCATGCATGCGTGCATGCATACATACAGACACACATATGTTTATACAGGCTTGCATACACACATACATACATGCATACATACATACCTCCATGCATACACACATTCATACATACATACATCCACTCATACATACGTACAGGCACGCATTCATTCGTACATATACTCGTACATGCACGCATACATTCAGAAGCACATACATACCTAGATATCGACATACATCTTTGCGTGCATGCATGCACGCAGATATACAAACACACTTGTCGGCCTGCATCCAGACACACATACACACATCCATACATGCATACAGATAGGCATACATTCGTTCATGCGTGAATTCGTACATACACATATGCATGCATACATACTGGCACACGGACATACATGCGTGCATACATACGTGCATTCATGCATACATGTATTTATGCATACGTACATACATGCATGCGTGCATACATGTATGCATTCATACATACATGTATGCATACATGCGTACTGGCCCACGTACATACATGCGTGCATACGTGCATACATGCAACTATGCATGCGTACAGACATGCGTGCACACATACATGCACATATGCAAGCATTCATAATACATACATGCACCCACATACATAGTTATATGCATGCAAGCACGCAGACACATACATACACGCACACTTACATGTAGCATCCATACATGCATGCATGCATGAATACTTGCATGCATTCAATTAACACATGCGTGCATACATCCAGACACACATACATATGATACCGGAGAAAAAACCCAATCATATTTTTGTTAGGGCTATTAGGCTATAGGGCTATTGGGCTCTAGGGCTATACGGCTATCGGGCTGTGGGGCTATCGGGCTATAGGACTGTGACCTATAGGGCCATAGGGCTATAGGGCTATGGGGCTGTAGAGCTATATGGGCTATGGGGCTATAGGGCTATAGGGATATAAGGCTATTAGGGCTATAGGGATATAAGGCTATAGGGCTACAGGGCTATAGGGCTATACGGCTATAGGGCTATAGGGCTATAGGGCTTCTGGGCTATTGGGCTATTGGGCACCCCCGGGCACCCGGGCACCCCCAGGCACCTGGGCACCACCGGGCACCCGGGCACCCGGGCACCCTGGCCCGGCCACCGAAATCGGCCACCCGGGCACCCCCGGGCACCCGGGCACCCGGCCCCGGCCACCGAAATCGGCCGCTCACCTCACCTCAGCTTTACATCCGCTAGGACCCCTACAGAAGCAAGCTCTGATTGGGGAACATAACGCATGCGTGGATGTATGCATACATGCTTGCATGCATGCTTGCATGCATGCGTGCATGCATGCATGCACACATACACACATATACATACATACGCACACATGCACAAACACATACATACATACATTCGTGTATGCATGCACGCACACATACTGACACTCTTGCCGGTCTACATCAAGTCATATATGCACATACTGATGCGTACAGACATGCATACAAACATTCATGAATTAATTCATGCATACATATATGCATGCGTACATAATGACACTTATACATGCATGCGTGCATACATACGTACATGCGTGCACACATATATATATATATACACATGTGTGTATACGCATGCGTACATATATACATGCGTGCATACATACATACATGCATGGATGTATTCATACATGTATGCGTACATACAGACACACCGACATACGAGCCTATACGACCACCCTTCGTGTGATAAGGAGGTTATGAGGGGAGGAGAGGGGGAGAACCAACATCTGACTCAATCGATCTCACTATCGATCTCTCTCCACGGGACACCACGGAACACAACCGGACACTTGTCGATCTCACTATCGATCTCACTATCGATCTCACTCAACGGGACACCACGGGACATCGCGGGACACCGCGAGCCACCGTTGGACGGACGGACGGGCGGGCGGGGGAGAATCATTTGTCTTGACTTCGCCCCAGCAGCTGCGGGCACCGCGGGGCACCACGGGACACCGCGGGACACCGCGGGACACCGCGAGCCACCGCCAGACGGGCGGAAGGGAGACAATCATTCGCTTGGGCTTCGCTTTAGCAACAGCGGACACCACGAGACACCACGGGACACAACGGGACACCACGGGACACCGCGGGACACCGAGGGCCTTCGCCGGACGGGCGGGAGGGGGATCATCATTTGTCTCGACTTCGCCCTAGCAACGGCGGGTTCATTTCTCCCGCGCGCCCACGCAGCTTCGCCTCGCCCGCACGCACGCTACGAACGAAACGAAACGGTTTCCCGGTTGGGGGTCTCCGTTCCATTGCGTTCTCATTCCCCAACCTCCGACATGCCCATACGACCACCCTTCGGCTGATAAGGAGGTTGTGGGGGGGGGAAAGGGGGGGAACCAACATCTGACTCAATCGATCTCACTATCGATCTCACTCAACGGGACACCACGGGACACTTTGTCGATCTCACCATCGATCTCACTATCGTTCTCACTCAACGGGGCACCACGGGCCACCCCGGGACACCACGGGACACCGCTGGATATCTCTCGATCTCATTATCGGTTTCACGATCGATCTCATT